ATTTATGGGTATACACAAGTGTGAAAATCAATACATGTACAAACCTGTGTACCCTATAAATTATGGACACGAAGCTAAATGATGTGAACTCCAAAAGGTTGACCCATTGGTCATGTGGCCTGGAACTCTGGTCCCTCAGCCAGGAAGGCAGCGTTGAGAAGTGAGCAGAAACTCCAGCCCTGGGTCAGTGCTGCAGGACAGCTTTCTGAGACAGACAACCCGCTCCCAGGTATCTGCACCTGATACAGCAAATGGGCTCTCAGATAAGCATTTGCGGATTTGCCTCCTTTGACAAATTTATGACAGAATTGGTTTTCCCAGAGATCTCAATTGATTGTGAGTTTGTTCTCCTTGCAGTTCCTCTTCCTTGACAGGTTTAGGGTCAAGGAAAGGAATCCCAAACAAAAGCAAATGGTGGGAAAGCTTGCTGACTCCCACTTCTCTTCCTCCCTGTGCTGCCCTCCCCCATTACTCTTGCGAATTCCCCATTTTTGTTTGTCTTTGTGTAAATAAAGGCTGGTGCCCACTGGTCTCCATCCCAGCACTAACTTTTACTACCTTCCCTTTGCGGACTCTCGCCCACCTCCCCTTTTCTTTGTTGAACATTGTATAAGTAGCCCTGTAACCTGTCAAAGAGCAGAACGGTGGTCTTTCGGACATGTGTCTGCTGCCCTCCTCATTTGTCGACAAATAAAACCACTTTCCCTTTCCTCAAACTCTGTTTCCTTTTATTGGCTGAGGGAAACTGAGACCGGCGTTCGGTAACACACCTGCCTCCGAAGCCATCAGTCCTGGAAGTTCAGCCAGACCTCTGAGAAGCTCTCAGTGTCTTCTCAGCATCTTCCTCTGAATGCCCAACACATCTGATCAAATGCCCGCTTGGGAACCTACCTCCTGTGCAGATGGGCAGTGACCCTGCTCTTAAGAAAATAAATGTCATGTGTGTGTGAGAGGAGGATGAGGGGCTCTCCCCCTTTCCCAGCCTCTCAGAGTCATCTCCCACCATGTTATCTCCGTGGGAGGCCCCAGCTGACTCTCCCTCGGATGCCCTCCTTGCTCTGGGAATAGAACTATCTTGAGTACCAGCAGCATAGAGCAGCCACAACTCTGGAGAAGCTTAGACCTTCTATGCTCTGGTCTCTGCCTCTGCAACCCTCAGCCAGGGCGGGGTCTGGGTGTTTCCAAGAAGCTCTCAGTACTCATGAATTCTTCAGGTGCCCCAGGGCCCTGCTTCTTTCCTGGCTGGTGTTGGGAGAGAGGGTTCTCCTAGGAGAAACTCTGGAAGAAAAAGAAAGTTCTGTGTACCTTTGTCATCCATACAGCAGACTTCCCTCCTTAACAGGCCTCCAGGGAAGACAGCTGGGCTCCCAGGACCTCAAACATCCTGGGAGGGAATTCTCATTCCAGCATGATAAGTTCAAGTGGCTTTCCCCCATGAGGGCAAAAACCCCAGGATTCATTAGACCTGCTGCCCCCTGATCCCAGTTTGGTTGAAGGGAATATTTGGCTTTTTCATCCAGAGAAGGTTTTCACTAAGGGTTTGAGGCCTCCTGGAGAGAGCGGAGGTCATGTCACAGGTGAAGGGACCAGAAGGC